AAACCGCCATTTTACCTGGCAGAGAAAATGGCGCATTGCATACCAATATTTATGGTTGTATATTAACAACTTGAACATTTTGGCTCAAATTTGCCGCTACCATGAAACATTCGGTGAGTCTTTGAATTGAGTGCAACGTAGATTTGAAGTTTTTATCCAAATACGTGTTTTCATTATGAATTTACCATCATTTTTTTTTAAAAAATTGCTACATTGACAACTTATCTAATTCTTTAAAAATTATTGAAATAGAAAATTAGGGCCAACGATTTTGTTCAACCAACCTCGACTTGCAAATTCGTAATGGTGTAATGCTTTGCAATAACATTATTTCTTTATAATGTTTGCGTATGAAAATACTTTTCTGAATCTATGCAGTTGGCTGATGTATGCGGATGACACCGTGTTATTCTATTCAAGCAAGGATGTGCATGAAATTGAAACAGTCCTAACTAAAGAACTTGGATTGGTGAGCTCCTGGCTGATAAATAACAGTCTATTTCTTCACAAAGATAAGACTGAGAGTGTTCTGTTTGGTACCGGAGCCAGGCTGTCTAATGTAACCGGCTTTGATGTGTCAATAAATGACCATCTTATCAAGCGTAAATCACAGTACACCTATCTTGGTGTTGTCTTGGGAGAGACATTGTCTTTTAATGAACATGTTAAATATGTGTTAAGTAAGGCAAGAAAAAGACTCGGCATATTACGCCGTATTAGAGATAATTTGTCTWTGAACACTGCTAACACGATATATAAGTCTTTTATATTACCTGTTCTGGACTACTGTGATACAGTCTGGAATTGCTGCRGGAAAGTTAATGCTGACTTGCTAGAAAGATTGCAAAGGAGGGCAGCGCGCGTTATTATGAAGAAATTTAGCAGTGATGAAGCCTTAAAATCACTTAGTTATGACACATTGCAAATTAGACGAGATAAACATGTCTATAAGTTAGTTAGGAAATGAAACGTCAATGTTCGTCTAGTGGACGGTAAGACTACTAATGAGGGACGTGTAGAAGTAAGATATAAAGGTACTTGAGGAACCATATGCAATGATGAATGGGGCATATGGGATGCTTCCGTGGTGTGTCACAAGTTGAACTACTCCAAGGCAGTTACAGCAACTACTTCTAGCGTCAAAGGAATTGGTCCTACATGGCTTAAAGGGCTTCGTTGCTTGGGATACGAAAAAACTGTTGATCAGTGTCTTCATGGTGGCTGGGGTAACACTGGTGGATGTGATCACAGCCGTGATGCTGGAGTGGTATGTGGCAATCTAACACCAGGTACAACTAGATAAGTTAC